AAATTTCAAAACGGGATTTTATTGGTCATAAAATTGCGCAACTTTGCCATAATTTAACCAACCTCGTATCTCTTATGGTTTCCAATATCCCCATGCATGCACTCCAATTTTAGAGATCACCAGCAAAATATAAAAGTAATCAATAAAGTAAAAAATCCATATTATCTCTTCAAAATTGGATTTTCCGAGACCCAGACTATGAGGAATAAAACCTAAAAAACCTAGTATATTTGGCTTGAATATACGGGGTGTTCCATTCAAGAAAGTTTAACTTTGCTTTGCCACACTTTTGTGACTCACCCTGTATACCTGTAACTAACTTCATTGCAAAGTTTCTGATATCACCTACAACTTCCACATTGACATTTCTTAGTATCTCTTCAAACAGGTAAGATATGTGTAGGTGCAAAATATAGACAATCACCAAGTACATAGTTGCCAGTCCACATTCTGGAACCTTTCGCCACAGAGTTTTTGAGAAAATCAAAATATTTTTCACTATAGGGGACTACTAGCTTTCATAAACCTAGCAATCCCTAATTTTTTTTTGATTTCCTCAAAAACAAGAGAAGCACCTAATTTTTAATTAGAGGCCCTAATTAGCACCTAGAAAGCACCTAATTATTATATAGATCCCGAAGTTTTTTTCCATTCTGACACACTAACATGTAAACGTGAAGCCAGCAGTCCCCTAATAATTAAAAAAAAAATCTGTAACACAGTTAATAATTAATCAATTCTATTTTTTCTTCAACTATTTAAGAGCACCTAAAAAGCACCTAATTCTGATACAAAAAAAAATTTTGGAAAAAAATATTTTTTACTATAGGGGACTTCTAGCTTTCATAAACCTAGCAGTCCCTTAGTTTTTTTTTGATTTTCTCAAAAACTAGAGGAGCACCTAATTTTTAATTAGAGGCCCTAATTAGCACCTAAAAAGCACCTGATTATTATATAGATCCCGAAGTTTTTTTTCCATTCTGACACACCAACAAGTAAACATAAAGCTAGCAGTCCCCTAATAATTAAAAAAAATCTGTAACTCAGTAATCAATTCTATTTTTTCTTGGACTATTTAGGAGCACCTAATTCTCATACAAAGAAAAAATTTGAAAAAACATTTTTAACTATAGGGGATTGCTAGCTTTTATAAACCTAGCAGTCCCCTAGTTTTTTTTTTTGATTTTCTCAAAAACTAAAGGAGCACCTAATTTTTAATTAGAGGCCCTAATTAGCACCTAATTATTATATAGTTCCCGAAGTTTTTTTCCACCTTGGGACTGCTAGGTTTATAGACCTCTGACACTTTCCGTGTGAGGAGCGAGGGAGTGAAGCATTATGGCAAAAACAGGTGTGACATCAAGTGACAATTGGCGTCCTAATCTTGTGTGCCACCTGCTCACATTTTTTCGAGTATCAGATAAAAATTGACGGACTTTAAATGATCATTCGGGACCCCCTAAACTCCATACACTAAATTATTCTGAGATTTGAAGCTGGATTCTATGAAAAAAAGCACTCAGAAAAATTGAAAAATTGATAAATCATATCAAATCGCCTAACACGACTCTATTTCTGGGACTATAAGTCCAAATGAGCAGAAATTTTCAGGAATTGTAGTCCTCTACTGGGATAAGAATCGCTAAAAATTTCAGCTTTCTATCTTTAATAAAAAAAAAGTTATGATTTTTTAAAGTTTACAATAATTGAAATCATAAGGTAGCTTACCTTAGTACTAAAGTGATAAATATACTTTTTTTATGTCGTGTGATTTTGTATCTAAATCATCATTCGAGACCCCTCAAACTCCATGCACTTAATTATTCTGAGATTTGGAGCCAGATTCTATAAAAAAAGGCACTCAGAAAAATTGAAAAATTGATAAATCACCCCAAATTGCTTAACACGATTTTATTTCTGGAACTATAATTCCAAATGAGCTGAAATTTTCAGGAATTGTAGTCCTCTGCTGGGATAAGAATGGATGATAATTTCAGCTTTCTATCTCTAATAGAAAAAAACTTATAATTTTTTAAAGTTTACAAAAATCTAAATCATATGGTAGTTACCTTAATACTGAAATGATGAAATTTCAAATTTTTGTATGTTGAGATTTTGTATCTAAATGATCAATGTGGACCCCCTCAACTCCATACACTAAATTATTCTGATATTTGGAGCCGGATTCTATGAGAAAAGGCACTCAGAAAAATCACCCCAAAGAAGTGTAGTTCCCTACTGGAATAAGAATCGCTGAAAATTTCAGCTTTCTATCTCTAATAGAAAAAAAGTAATAACTACAAAAATCTAAATCATAAGATTCCTTGAAAATTAGAAAACAGCTACAGTACGCTTTAGGTCTACATTGAACAAAATGACTGTGTTAGATGTAGATTTTTAATTTCTTAAACTGTCTTTGGGTGAAAAGATTACCACTTTCACAGTGATTATTCATCTGATCTTTCATTAATGATTCTAGAATTTTAGAAATTAGAACAAGCACGATTAATTTTCTTTTAGGTTGATTGGGATATGTTTTTCATTTTGCCACATACATAAGTACAGTCGAGGGTACATACCAGCCAGAGTTGTTTTAATTATTTATTTATTTATTTATTTATTGTTCACATTACAAACACCACAATGTGGTAACTACAAGTAATGGTTGGCAGAGAATAACTACAACTAACAAATTACTACACTATAGACTAAACCTAACATAAGCCAAAAAAGCATACATTCACAAACAGTAAGATTGACTTAGATCTTCAGTAACTCTTTAATATTTGTATTAAATATATCTATGTTGACTCTCATGAGTGTTCTGTTGCATATTGATAACATTGTATTTATGGGTGATGTGATAGATCTATATTGAATAACTCATAGTTTAGATTTCTCAAGTTAATTTTAGGTACGTTTAGGTGTACATATTTATTTAAATCACAGTCTTTATATTTTACATAATTAATAAGGTTGAATACAAATATCACAGCCTGTTTATCTCTTCTACTCTGCAAACTTTCAAACCCAAAGTCCTCAGGCATACTTCTATATGAGACCATATAAGGATACATGTTATTTTTCCTGACATAAAGGTATCTTGAGAACCTCTTTTGAACTTTTTCTGTATGGTCCACATGTGTGTGGGCTGTGAGCATCCAGATTTGGGCAGCATATTCTAGATGTGGTCTCACCAGAGCATAATAAAGCCTTACAATCGTTTCCAACTCAAAAGACTTGCCATTTCTAATTCTGAATCCCAAAGATTTATATGCCCTATTGACCATTCCAATGAAATGGGAATTCCTCACATTGCTTTGAAAGATAACTCCCAAATCTTTGATTTCACTCTTTCACTCTAAATTGACCCCATTAATTTTGTAGTCATGCCCAATAATGTTGCTTTTCCGTGAGAAACTGCCTGAGTACTTGTTCACGTTTTCCTCTTCAATTCGTTTTTAGTTTGTTTGTCTTTACTAATTCACTTTTATTTGGGTACCTACCTACTCTTTGAGCTTATTATTTTTGTCCAGTTTTTCTGTATTTTATCATTTCTGGCTGCATTGACACCTCCTTTAAGTTGTCCGTTACGACCGTTACCAACACTAATCATCCTTAAAAAGGTGATATACATATATTCACTTTTCTGAATACAGAGTCAATTTTCGCTTGAAAAATATTCGCAAACAATTCTTTAGGGTCTTAGTTCAGAGCGGTTAGGCCCGTTAAAGGATTAAGCCGGGAAAAGTCACGTTTTAATGCCAACCGTCTTGGGCAATTAGGCCGAACGTGTTATTATTGACAGCTGAGCGCGATCGAATGAAATTGCGACACATGTATGTTCGACTCCGCAATATGCATATCTCGAATACAAATAAAAAGAGTTTTTGACAGGCGTAGGTCGGTTACCCAGGCATGAACTTTATTTTATCAAGAATATGCTATTGTTGTTTGTATGGTACCTCTATGTGTTTGCATTTGTATATTTAGAAAGTGAATTTCCTTTTCCATTTCTGAACTGCATTGCAATATTTACCTATAGAATATTCACACACACCCCGGTTGAAGTAATTAAACTGGTTACATGTTAGTTAGGATGGGTCGACATGAGCATACACACACATTATTGCAATTGATAGCGTGTTTAACATTCCGATATTATAATTACGAATCTGCCACACGGGATGGGATAATAAATACTCGACTATTGCAATTTTAATTATAAGAAAAGGTATACATTATGTACTTCAAATATATTAAATGTGTGTGAAAGCGACGGAAATGACTTGTGGAAAATCAAAGAGAAAATCACATTTTTAGGATGTTTTATTCGGTACTTGGACCATTTGGTGTTTCCGATTTGTTCTTGGAAGAACATTTAATGTTTACTGTTCGAGGAAGTTTTGTATTTATTACTGTGAAAAGTTAGTTTGAAGAATTTTACATTTGTCTCAAATATCTTAAAAAACTGCGCTTGCAAACTATTATTAGCATATACACTTGCTACTGATTTAATCATTAATTATTGCTCTCTCTCAATAAGTCTATAATTCCATTTGCAAATAACTAAAATTCTTACTGTGTAATTTAATAATTAATCGGATCGCCACAAATTTATACCATCGCCTTGAAAGGTAGGTTACCAACAAAAAAAAATAATACAAGAAGAAAATATATGAACTCGCCTGCCTATCTCCATAAAAGCGACGACAAAAAAAAAATGAGAGCAAGTATATGAATCTTAATTGACATGTTCTCAATATAAACTGCTCGGGATTACTTGGCTAATAATGATTTTGTCTATATTATGTAAAGTACAATTTTTTAATTTTCTACTTCCACAAATTGCTTTTAGTTGAATAAATCAGAGGCCAAATTAAAAATGTCTCAATTTTTTATTAATAATAATTACAGTTTCTTTTTAAATTAGACTCCAACCTTGACAAGTTAATTGCTCAACCTTGAATGGCAATTTTTAATGTTTTTATTTTTCAAAGGTGTTAAAACAACAACTAGACACCGTAGGCGATTTGGAATCAGGACTTAGGGCTAAACTCGACAAGGCTGTGGAAGAAAACGATGACTTGAGATTTGAAGTAAGTTGCGGATACAAAATTTCGCCTGCGAAACTTTTTTCAATGCAATTTTTTTTTTTAGTTGGAAAATAGGACAATAGAATTAGAAGGCACCAAAGCCCGGGTGAGAGTATTGGAAGACCTTCATAAGCCCAACAAGAGCAGATCGCCCGATCTGATTCCAGATCAAAGATTGTTATCCAGGACTGAAATTAGGTATGTTAATAGTGAGGTTTTTTTATTTTCAATGATATGTAAATTGGCTTATTCTTATAGTACTCCGAGCATGAAAGCAATGAGTCCTTTACCGATGAACTTGCAAATGGATCATAACAGTAGTACTGAATCGGCACACGATCAAGCTGAGAGCAATAGAAGTAAAGACGGTTCTAAAAGGAGACCCAGCAAGATTCCGTTGAAGAGTTATAGTGCACCAAAACCACCTGGAGGTAAGTTGTTTTTGAGTTGTAGATTTTTGGTTTTGGGTAAAACTTAGTTTCAAAATATTTGTCACACTTGTGAGCTGGATTTATAAAGTTGAGGTTGATGTCCAAATAAGTTACATATTATGAGGTTTACAGTATATCAATATAACCTTGCATTTTTTGGGCCTAGATTGTAGATTTGTTTGAATGGAGATGGCGCAGAGGCGTCCTCTACCACTGCAACCTTGTTAGATTTATTGTGGTATCTCCTACCTGTCCTTAGAGTGCGTTTTCTAGACCCGTCCTTTTTATTAGACTCCAGAGCCATGATACTGGCCACCCCATGTAGCTTGCCGGATTGGGCTGCTGAGAACCTATACAGGCTATCCTTTGCCAGGCTCATTCTTTCCAGGTGCTTGTTGAGTTTACAATGTCCTGTTAACTGGCCTACCATTATCGTAACAATGTTGCGGCTGTGGCTTAGTAGGTCCGCTGTGAACTTGGGCGAGCAGGATTTGATAAACTGCTTTGCCTGTCGTTGTCCTGGTGTTCGCTGTCACCAGCTCTGGAACTCTCTGTCTATCCAGTTCTTTATAGATGTTTTAAAACTGCTTGCAGAAATTCCGCAGAATGGTTCTGGGCCTATCATCTCAGTGACCGAGCGTCCTTTGACTAAGTCATTAGCCTTTTCATTTCCTGGGTGGCCCTCATAGCCTGGTACCAAAGCCTGGTACCTGGTTTGTTAGACAGGCCCACCTCCTCTAGGAAACGTATACAGTTCCCAACCAGCGTGGAGCCGATCTTTCAGAAAGTTGATTGCCTTCAGGGCCGCCTGGCTATCCGAGTAAATACCGATGTTTTTACTCTCAGCTTTCGTTTCATTTATCAGTATGGCACAGTGCATTATTGCAGCGATATCCGCTTGAAACGCCGTGACGTATTGTCCGAGATTTATGGATATTTCCACCCTAAGGTCTGTCCCCGTAGATGCCGGCTCCGATCCCCTTGCTGGTCTTGGAGCCGTTGGAGTACCAGATGTGGTCTGCTTTAATTGGAGAACCAGTCTAGGTCCAGTCTTCCCTATATGGTATGGCAACCCGGAAGTGCCTGGATGGAAATAGGTGTTGTTTTGTCTGAGGGCATCTCGAACAATGAGCTAACCTCTGGATCCTCCTCTATTTTCCAACTCATGGTCCTTTCTGCATCTTCATCAGCCTGTATTAATCCACTCCTGGACATAGGCCTCTTCCATTTCTTTCCATGTTGACCTGTTCTGTGCTGGGAGCATCCAGTTCTTTTCCGCTCGTCTCTGTATGTCGTCTCGTCATCTTTGCATGGGTCTGTCGCTGCTTCTCTTTGTTCTCCATGGTCTCCATTGCATAACCATTTTCGTCCATTACTCATCGTTTCGTGCAACGTGTCCTGCCCAACGCCACTTGTTATTTGCAGTTTGTTTTATGACATCACTCACTTTGGTTCTTGCCCTGATATCATCGATTCTTTGCCTATCTCTCAAGCTAATTCCCAGCATCACACGTTGACTAACCCGTAGTTGTTGTGCTCTTTTCTTTGTCATGGTGACTGTCTCGAGCCTGTACAGTGTGACTGGTAGTACGCAGGCATCATATACTTTCCGTTTCAGATTAATTGGTATCTTCGGTTCATTGAGGATACATGCGAGTTTTCCAAGTACTGCCCATATCAAACTGATTCTCCTCCTTATCTCGGTTGTCTGGTTGTCTTTGCCTAGCCTGATGCTGTGTCCCAGATATACAGGGTATCAATTTGAAAACTTCCCACCCCTATTAACTCGGAGTAGAAAAATTTTCAATAGTAATATAACTAGTGCAATGGAATTTATTGATAATTTTTGGGAAATTTGCCGGAATGCATTTTTAGTTGAAAAAGAGTTTCAGTTAAAAACGCATGAGTGCAAATTTGTCGAAAATTATAAATATATTTCCATTGCACGAGTTGTATTTAATGAGAGAATTTCATAAATCAAAAATTTAAATTTTTTGTCAAAAAATGTCAAAACACCAGTTTTCGCACCAGTTAGTATGCAATTATCTGATAATTTGCACTAGTGCAAATTATCGCATAATAGACCGATCTCCTATTACCTGGACTGCGCGCGTCGCTTGTAGGCTGCAGGTGAGCGTCCAATGAGAAGCAAGTTTGTGACAGGCTTGCGTCATATTCTTATTCAGGGGCCAGATCAGAATGAATCGAGCAACTTCGAATTTAATCCATGATCAAAAATTCCGGTTGAAAATTTAATCTCCGGTTAAAATTAAAAAAATGGTGTCAAATGATAGTTTATGAAAATCCAAGATGAGAATGTAAGATCGGTTTTCCTCTAAAATTAACCGTTTAGGTTTTACAGCCTGTCAAAGTAGCAAAAAAGTCAATTTTCAACTGTCAATATTTCCAAAACAGTTGAACTTAGGGACTAAAATTTAGCACCAAAATGTATGGAATTAAAAACCCTAGAAAATGATGTATCACTCGACCCCCCTTCCCATTTAAAATTTTCTAGGGGGTGGCTCTGGGGGCTGGGGGGTTGAAAGAGGGAAGGTGAATTTTGCATAAAAACTCATCCCCCTTCAAATTATAGTTGACATGTTTCAGGAATTTTTTCGAAAATTGTTCTATACAAAAAGGACAAAAGACTGATCGGTCTATAGTTTTCGATATTGGTTCGGTCGCCTTTTCTGAAGAGAATTATTACTTCGGCATTTCTCCATAAGTCGGAAATTTTTCCCTCGTCCACACATTTGTTAAGAAGGATGATCAGTGCTTTCTCCAGAGTTGTTCCCCCATTCTTCACCATTTCTGTTGTAAGGTGATCTTCTCCTGGGGCCTTTCGGTTTTTCATCTACTTCAGTGCCATTCTCAGCTCTACAGTTTGAATCTCCGGGATGTCCTCGGAGCCCACATTCAGGACCACCTTTTCTATATGGTTTGGCTTAGGTACCGATTGTCTGTAGAGTTCCTGGTAGAAATGCCGGATAGTTGATGTGATCTGTTCTCTCTTTGTTACAACTTGTCCTTGTTGGTTCTTAATTTTGTATAGGAGTGACCTTTTCTTTATTTTAATCGCTTTCTTTACTTGTTTGTCTAGTTCTCGGTATCCTATTGAGTCTCTGTCCATTTTTCTGCGTTCTGCTAGGAGTGCGTTTGTGCTCTGGCTGAGTTTCGTATTAGTTTTTGTTGTCATGGTGCATACTTTCTTCACTGCTGTTCGTATGCTGCTAGCCATTTTTCCCGATAACTCATTTAGACCAATATTTCCCAGATCTTCCGTTGGTTCTAGTTTTTTATTGATTTGGACATTGTATTCTTCCATTTTTTCTTTGAGCTGGTTCCCTGTTGGGCGAGCAGCTTTATCGATTTGCTTTTTCCTTTCCAAGCGTGTGTTTATATTTATTGTGGCTCTTACGATTCTATGGTCGCTTCCGGCTAAGAACTTATACACCGGTACAGAACTTTCTGTCCGTAGTGAATATATAGTCAATTTTGTTCTTAACTGCGCCATTCGGGCTTCTCCATGTCCATTTTCTTTGGTGTTGTTTCTTGAAGAACGTGTTCATGCAGTTAATTTGTTCATAAAGTCCAGCATCATTTCGCCTTTGTTGTTTCGTGTGCCCAGTCCAAAATTACCGATGTTCGGGCCGTCTGTCGCAACTTTAGGACCTATCTTAGCATTGAAGTCACCGATTATAACCTGGAACTTCGTATTTTCTTGGTTTTTAGCTATCGCCAGATCTTCATAAAATTGCTTGATATCTTCGTCTGTTGACGTTGATGTGGGTGCATATACCTGTATTATCTGCATGCTGTATCTCTTGTTGAGTTGTAGCATAATGTAAATCACGCGGTCTGATATAGCTTTGCTTTTCGTGACCAGATGTTTTCTCTTGCTGTTTACCACGATCGCTACTCCTCCGATATGATGGTTTGTTTTGGAATTTCTTTGCAGGAGCATATGTCCAGATTCCAGAATTGTGTTGGTCTCGCCTTTCTGTCGGGTCTCGCTAATTCCATGTATGATGTTTTGGAGTTTGATTTCTAGACTTAGCATATGTTCTTCGAGTCTCATTGTGTGAATGTTGTATGGTAATATTAGGATGTTTTCATTTGTTTTCCGTTTTTTATCTGCTAGTGTCGAGGTTTTGCCTCCCCTAGAATCCTTGAGGCTGGCTGATATATCTGCGCGAGATTCTGAGCACTTAGTTCTACTCGCCTGGGGTTTTTATGTTTTAAATGTCGAGTGGATTAATTCAGCCGCCCATTCTGGGTCCGACGCTGTTTGCAGCCGCCCAATCTGGGTCAGACGCGGCTGGTTTGTTCCGCCATATCTCTACTCAATTAGCCTGTGGGTCAACTCAGTTTCCAGGATGTGACGCTTGAAGCCTTGAGTAAGAGCTGGGCACCCCATGAGAACCAGTTACTACAATCTATCTATCGTCTATGACGCTCGATATGACCGATTCCAGTAAAAGGTGCTACCTCTCTGGCGTGACACCCTGGTCCTTTGGTGTTTTATAATTGGACTGCCTTGCTTCAGTAGTACCGCCTTTACTTCACCCTGTATGTAGATATGTAGAGGCGGCAGGTGTAGCAACACCTCCAAGGCTGTTTTCATGACCTCCGTGATGCATATGAGGCTAGCCTTTGCACACTTTGAAGTTGTCTGATTGCTATGATCTGTGTGACCTTTTTACCCCAGGCAACCGAACCGTAAGTTATCATTAGTCTTATCACTATTTTGTATAATCATAGATTCATCTTTGGTTTAAGTCCCCAGCTTTCGCCACAAAGCTTTCTGCATCTCCCTAGGGAAATTTTAGCCTTCTGGGCAACTTTATTGAGGTGTGAACCGCAGGTCATTTTTAGGTCAAAAATAGCTCCTAGCTATTTGATGTCTTTTGAGAACGAGATTTTAGCTCCATTAAGCTTAGGACATCGAAGTCCTCTTAGTACTCTTTTCTTTGTGAACGGGACAATTACGGTTTTCTGCGGATTATAACCGACAAGTCTTTATCCCTGCACCAGTTATCTACTATGAAGAAAACTTTTTGAGTTCTTTCTGAGACATATTCTAGAGGCCTGCCTCTGACTATTAGGACTATATCATCTGCGTAGCCGAGGCCGTAGAATCTCTCATTGACCATTTAGGGCAGCCTCTTCCTACTATTGCTTCTATTGTGTCCTCACCCAGAGTAGATGTAATTACCCTGCAATTACGTTTCCGTAGCGTCGGCCTTTAATGTACTGGCCTTGGGACCTACAGCGCGGTGTGCTGGACTTTGTCCTCGGGCTTTTTTTCCCGCTTCTTCCTGAACTTCAGCCTTCCAAATCCAGTAGGGACTTATGTCCACTTTTTCTAGGCCCTCTAGCGACTTTTTGTCCATAGAGAGGGTCCAGAGGTGGCCTTTGTTTATTGGAACTGCGTCCCATAACTTCCACAGACTTGTGTTCAGGTCTCTGTTTCCACAGTCATAGTCAGTGACAGTCTTCTTCCCTTTTCGTCCGGGATGAAGACGGTGCAGGTCTCCGGCTTTGGCAAATCCTCGCCTGTTAATGCCTTTAACACTGCGCCCTCCTAGGGCTTGAGTGTTGGCACCGTTTTTTATTAACTGCTAGTCTTGTCTGCGTAGGTGACCTCAAAATATCCCGGCCTGTGGCTGCATTTTTCAAAACGCACTTGTGGGCCGTTTTCAGGGATATTCTCGTACGCCGCCGAGATCGCTGCTTGGAGTTGTTCCATCCTCCCTGATCACGGCGCGCTTAGCTTCAGTGTAGCTTTTGCCTTTCGTGACGCGTTGCGCATTTTTGATGAACCGGACAAAGTGGCCTTATGGACCTCTTTCTCAGTCAGGTTGTCGATCTCCTGCAAGGAGTTTGCCTTGGAGCTGGCATTTTTTTTTTCCCGACCATTTTTTTCCCGACTTTTTTCCCGACCATTTTTTTTTCCCGACCATTTTTTTTCCCGACCATTTTTTTCCCGACTTTTTCTTCCCAAAAATTTTTTTTCCCGGCGAAAAATAAGTCGAGGGAAAAAAAAGTCGGAAAAAAAAAGTCGGGACAAAAAAAGAAGTCGGGAAAACAAAAAGTCGGGAATAAAAAAACTGGGAAAATTTAAAATTTACAAAGCAAAGGTTATCAGGAAACGCCTACTTTGCGATCGCAAATCTAATCGACAAAGCCTGCTTTCTAGGGCGATTGTAGGAAAACGACTTTTGTTGGGTATTTGAGTTTAATGCAAAGTACTCCCCTAGGACACCAACCTCCAATTCGAGGATTGGTGCAGGTTTCCCTTACAACGAACTGGATTTTCCGAAAACCTTATTTCGCGCCCGGGGGATTTTGAAGTTGGCTGTCTCGTTTCTTGCTTCGTGCTCGAAAGCAGCTCGCACCAACAATACTCCGGGGGCGCGTCCACTGGCCACCTTAAGTGATCTCGATAGTGAGGGGACCCACGCAAAGTATTGTCAGCCTAAGTGCAGGGTAAGCAAGTCACCACACTTCTGTCGAACAAAATAAGGGGAATGCTCTTCGTTTTCGTTGGCGCAGAGAACAGGGGCAGACAGGTGAGATGTGGTCTCGATCATTGCCCGTAAAGAACTCAAAGGGGGTGCTTCCTAGTACCCCTGGGGGCACGTTTGAGATCACACTTGTCCCTGTGACCATCCAATCCTCAACACGTTGCCCTCCACCTTGACTTGGGAGAAAGAGGGGATTGGTTGAAAAGAGCATGAAAGAAGTATTAAAAAGAGAAAAGTAACGGATCAAACGCCAGAAAAGTTGAAGCAGCGTCTGGATCCAGCTAGGGTGCCTCGGGGTTGCCAGATCTCGTAGGGACCCACCAGGTGTGAGCCCATGCGGCTTTGTTGAGTTGTCCTAAGCAACGACTAGCCTGTAAACCCACATGGCCAATCGCTGGGCCCCACCACCAACGTCTAGGTCTCACAGCTCCTTGGGCCTAACTCTTCAATCAAATTTTTCACCAGAAATTTCTTGATTTTGAAAATTTCGATCGAGGTATAAGTCAAAAAAAAGGCAAGGTATTATTATAAATCCACCTCAAACGTACAAACATTAATTAGAAAATTAATGCATTACGTATAATTCTGGTAACAACATCGTCTATCAGAGACACAGTTCTGTTTATTTTTGGTTAAACTTAAGTATTAAGATTATAAATCAGCTCACACACTAAACATATGCTTCAACCAATCACCTGATAGATATTTTACGCAAAAATATACACCTTAGTACAAAAATCACACATTATTCATGTTTGTCATCACGCACCCGCAGGTAAACATAGTCCGGCACCGCGCAGTCGTAGTGGCGGCGAATCACCGCACCGTTCACATTCGGCACATTCTTGGAGGAATCGTAGCACCGGCGATAGCAGCCTGAAGAATTCCTTGCCGAAATCCCGAAACAATTCCCTGGTGTCGGCTCGGGATTCGTTGTCCGGCAAACTGAGAAGTACCGAGTCGATATCGAAGAGTTCGTCGCCTAGTAATACGGTGAAGAAGGCGCCGCTGAACAATAGCAAATGGGCGAACAACGCTAAGGACGAAAAGGTACGGTCCAAAACAACTTCTTCAATATGGAGTTTCTTCCGAAGAGACAGCAATCAATAGATCAGGATTAAGTTTTCGTTATGCGTGTGTGCTCCAATATGCACTATGAGTGGAGTAAGTGAGGCTTTTTTTTTTTAATTTGCCATCGGCGCTTTTTATGCTTTGTTTGCTTGGGACTCCTTAGTAGCCTGTGTAGAGGTTTGTAGTTTTGGTATGTAGCTGGGGATAATATGTCAAGTTAATTTTTTTTGGTTGAAATTAGCCAGTTCTAGAGGTTTCCATAGCTCAATATTTCATTATGAAATCTGTTATAGCCTTTAAGTATATGATGATGTATGTACAACTTTTTCAAAGTTCAGCATAAGTATTGAAGACTGGCTTTTAAAAAAAATTGGTTGAATTGTAAAAAATAAACTTGGCAGTTACCATTTTAGTTGGGCAAGTAGCTTTAGTAAAAAATATATCATCATATAACTTTATATTCCATCATGCAAAATGTCTCAGGTTCAAGGGGGTGCAGTCAGAGGGTTTGTGTTGTCCCTACTTTATGAAAGATTTTTGCCTTTGACCAGTGTTGCCAACTGCGAATCAACTATTATAGTAGTATAGAACGCTATAAAATTATAGTACATTTGTACAAATTATAGTATCCTGCTGGAGACAAATGACCACCAATAATTGTCCTAGTGGGATACACAGAGATCGAACTATTATGAAATTTTCTGGACAAAACGAGAAAAATCAAGGGCGTTTCATACTAAAATTTCAAATTTTTCAAATGAAAAATAAACCTATTGGAAATTCATGAGAATCAACTAAATTAGGCATAAATGCACCATCTAACTTTTTTTTTTCTGGAAAACTATTCAAGGGAAAATTATGACATTTTCTGAAAAAAAAAAAAGAAAATCAGGGGCGTATCATAGTAAAGTTTCAAATTTTTTCAGTGGAAAATAAACCCATTGGAAATTAATTAAAATCAACTAAATTAGGCATAAATGCACGATCCAACTTTTAATTTTTTTTCTGGAAAACTATTCAGGGGAAAATTATGACATTTTCTGCAAAAAAACAGGAAAGTCAGGGACGTATCATAGTAAATTTTCAAATTTTTCCAGTAGAAATATAACTAGTGCATAAAATATTTCCGGAAATTTTTGAAAATTTTGTCTGAAGCCAATTTTTTGACAAAATCATGAGTGCATAGCGCCTGAAAAAATCCCGAACCCGAAGGGTGAGGGATTTTTTCTTTGGCGCTATGCACGAATGGTTTTGTTTAAAAAAATTGACTAAAGACCAAATTTTTAAAAATTTCCCTTAGGAAATATTTTATGCACGTGTTATATTTTGATAGGAAATTTCCCGAGTTTGAAGTTTATTTATTATAAGTTGTGGCGAATATTTTAATTATGATGATGTGTTCTGTGATGGTGATTGTTATTGATATTTCCCATTTAAATTGCGTTTGTCAAAAAATATACACTTTGTCAGATTTCTGACATCAATGCATTTTAAATGGAAAAGCTGGTCTCAATGCCAAAAATGACAACCTAAAGGTGGGTTTCCGACAGACGCCGCGCGGCATTGTCGCATTGGAAATTGCACCCGGAAATATCCCTCTCACGAGGGATATTTCCACTTGTCAATTTTTGAAAATTACGAGGTAAATTTCCAGTTAAATATGCACAAGGGAAATTTCCAGTGGAAAATAACCCCATTGGAAATTAATGAATATCAACTAAATTAGGCATAAATGCACCATCTAACATTTAATTTTTTTCTGGAAAACTGTCCAGGAGAAAATTATGACATTTTCTGGAAAAAAAGGGGAAAGTCGGGGGCGTATTATAGTGAAATTTCAAATTTTTCAAATGGGAAATAACCCTATTGGAAATTAATGAAAATCAACTAAGTCAGGCATAAATGCACCATCTAACATTTTATTTTTTTTGTGGAAAACTGTCCAGGAGAGAATTATGACATTTTCTGGAAAAAAAGAAGAAAATCAGCGGCGTATCATAGTAAAGTTTCAAATTCTCCAGTGGAAAATAACCCTATTGGGAATTAATGAAAATCAACTAAATTAGGCATAAATGCACCATCCAACTTTTCATTTTTCTTCTGGAAAACTATTCAGGGGAAAATTATGACATTTTCTGCAAAAAAAGAGGAAAGTCAGGGATGTATCATAGTAAAATTTCAAATTTTTCCAGTGGAAAATAACCCCATCGGAAATTAATGAATATCAACTAAATTCGGCATAAATTCACCATCTAACATTTCATTTTTTTTCTGAAAAAGCGTCCAGGAGAAAATAATGACATTTTCTGGAAAAAAAAGGAAAGTCAGTGGCGTATCATAGTAAAATTTCAAATTTTTCAAATGGGAAATAACCCTATTGGAAATTAATGAAAATCAACTAAATTAGGCATAAATGCACCATCTAACATTTTTTTTTTTTCTGGAAAACTAATCAAGGGAAAATTATGACATTTTCTGGAAAAAAAGAAGAAAGTCAGGGACGTATCATAGTAAAATTTCAAATTTTTCCAGTGGAAAATAACCCAATCGGAAATTAATGAATATCAACTAAATTAGGCATAAATGCACCATCTAATATTTTATTTTTTTTTTCTGGAAAACTGTCCAGGAGAAATTTATGACATTTTCTGGAAAAAAAGAAGAAAATCAGGGGCGTATCATAGTAAAGTTTCAAATTTTCCAGTGGAAAATAACCCTATTGGAAATTAATGAAAATCAACTAAATTAGGCATAAATGCACCATCTAACATTTAATTTTTTTCTGGAAAACTGTCCAGGAGAAAATAATGACATTTTCTGGAAAAAAAGAGGAAAGTCAGGGGCGCATTATAGTGAAATTTCAAATTTTTCAAATGGGAAATAACCCTATTGGAAATTAATGAAAATCAACTAAATTAAGCATAAATGCACCATCTAACTTTTTTTTTTTTCTGGAAAACTATTCAAGGGAAAATTATGACATTTTCTGGAAAAAAAGAAGAAAGTCAGGGACGTATCATAGTGAAATTTCAATTTTTTCTAGTGGAAAATAACCCCATCGGAAATTAATGAATATCAACTAAATTAGGCATAAATGCACCATCTAATATTTTATTTTTTTTTCTGGAAAACTGTCCAGGAGAAATTTATGACATTTTCTGGAAAAAAAGAAGAAAATCAGGGGCGTATCATAGTAAAGTTTCAAATTTTCCAGTGGAAAATAACCCTATTGGAAATTAATGAAAATCAACTAAATTAGGCATAAATGCACCATCTAACATTTTATTTTTCTTCTGGAAAACTATTCCGGGGAAAATTATGACATTTTCTGGAAAAAAAGAGGAAAGTCAGGGACGTTTCATAGTAAAATTTCAAATTTTTCCAGTGGAAAATAACCTCATTGAAAATTAATGAATATCAACTAAATTAGGCATAAATGCACCATCTAACATTTTATTTTTCTTCTGGAAAACTATTCTGGAGAAAATTATAACATTTTCTGGAAAAAAAGAGGAAAGTCAGGGACGTATCATAGTAAAATTTCAAATTTTTCCAGTGGAAAATAACCCCATTGGAAATTAATGAAAATCAACTGAATTCGGCATAAATGCACCATCTAACATTTAATTTTTTTCTGGAAAACTGTCCAGGAGAAAATTATGACATTTTCTGGAAAAAAAGGGGAAAGTCGGGGGCGTATTATAGTGAAATTTCAAATTTTTCAAATGGGAAATAACCCTATTGGAAATTAATGAAAATCAACTAAATTAGGCATAAATGCACCATCCAACAATTTAGTTTTTTTTCTGGAAAACTATTCAAGGTAAAGCTATGACATTTTCTAGAAAAAAAAATGAAAGTCAGGGACGTATCATAGTAAAATATCAAATTTTTCCAGTGGAAAATAACCTCATTGAAAATTAATGAATATCAACTAAATTAGGCATAAATGCACCATCTAACATTTAATTTTTTTTCTGGAAAACTATTCAAGGGAAAATTATGACATTTTCTGGAAAAAAAGGAGAAAATCAGAGGCGTATCATAGTAAAGTTTCAAATTTTTTCAGTGGAAAATAACCCTATTGGAAATTAATGAAAATCGATTAAATTAGGTATAAATGCACCATCTAACATTTTATTTTTTCTTTGAAAACTATTCAAGGAAAAATTATGACATTTTCTGGATAAAAAGAGGAAAATCAGGGGCGCATCATAGTAAAATTTCAAATTTTCCCAGTAGAAAATAACCCCATTGGAAATTAATGAAAATCAACTAAATTAGGCATAAATGCACCATCCAATAATTTAGTTTTTTTCTGGAAAACTATTCAAGGGAAAATTATGACATTTTCTGGAAAAAAAGGAGAAAATCAGAGGCGTATCACACTAAAATTCCGGCTCAGGAAAATAAATGAAATTGACAATTGACAGTGTAAACCCAGTCACCAAAAAAACACTAAACTGGCGTTTCCGATTGGTAGATTCAGTGCGCACTAAGGATATTCGCATCCTTTTAATCGACCTGTAGAAGAAAAAGACAGAAATAGAAAAAATTGCACTAGTTCCGCACTAGATCTACCAATCGGAAACGCCATAACACTTTTGACAGTTGACATTTAAAATGTCAACTGTCAAAAAATACATGCTCAATCAATACTAAAAGCCTATTCAGTTGAAAAAAAAAAAAGAAAAAAGGTGACTAGACATAAGGGCTTGCACGCCAACACATCAGGAAACCAATAGGATTAGGATTTGTTGTTAATAGAAAGTAAGATAGGCAACAAATTAGGATTAAGAAGTGAATAGATTAAGGGCTTGCAACCAACAAATTAAAATTTGAAATAGGCTAAGGAGAACTGGAATAAGAAATTTTCCAATAAAAAACTAAATAATTTGATAATGCATAATTATAGTACAAATACTATAATTATAGTATGGTTGGCAACACTGCCTTTGATTCATGATAGCACACAAATT